CTGTTAAAGAGATATAAATAGTATTTCGTCAGTTATCATGAGCTTAGAATATAACCTGGCAAAGGGACCAAGAACAGCACACTGAAAGCAGAAGATCAAGTTGCCATGTTCTGCACAGGACAGTCAAGCAGTCTGTATAATCACCTTCAGCAGCACTGTCTGAGCCTGTGCAGGCTGTTCCCACAGATTCAGAAGGCCAAGAACCAGTTAAAAGTGTTGCCACTGCATTTCTGATACATACCCTGTTTTGAAGCTTCCCTGTTCCGCAAGTGAGGAGGAATGTATCGGCCTTCTAAAGGACAAAAGAAAGGCAGTGTTACAGGACTGTGGTGTTAGCACATTTTGAAATGCTAGTCAACAACAGCTTTTGCTTAGTAAAAATATCTGCCTTGAGGCCTCTTGCAGCATCTTTGAATAAGGGTCCTTTAATACAGCACTTTGGTATCATTCTCTCAGAGCTGAAGATTAAGTTACTGCACATTCATTTAAGCAGCTGCTTTTAAGGCACAGATGTCTTGCTATTTCTCTGACCAAGTCACACACATTTATGGGTGTTACAGTGTCTACAAAGCCCAACTTCCCAGAACTCATTAAGGTTTAATCTGGTTCCAGATACTTGAACAGCTGAAGATTTTCACTGTGACATTTAAGTACTGGCACTGACAGTCCTTCCCCTTAAATTCCACCATCCCCATCAGTTCAGCTCAGATCAAACCAGAAGCCACACCTAATTTGCCTCTGAATAGCATTCCTCATTTAAATCCAGAAGCATCTGTCTGCTAAGTAAAGTGAATTAGAATGTACCAGGCACAAGCTGAATGTGAATTCCTGGAAGACTCCCTCCCTCTTCTTTAAGCACTTAAGCCTTTAACATCAATTTCTACTTAATGAATCAAGATCGGTGGAGTTAACATTCCTACTCCCCCTGGATGTTTTGAGTAGACAGATCACCACATTACAACTACAATCTGCAGTCCCAGTTTAGAGGCAACTGAAAATCTGAGATTAAACTGGAACACTAAGTTCTCTCAAGTATTTCAGAAATGTACACATGCTGTATCATGCTGAATGAAGCGGTCCTATCTGAAACACGCAGTGTTTCCAATGTACACTTAACTGGCAATCTTTCTAATTTCCCCCAACAGCCTCTGTAAATTTTGCTTTAAAATTTGTTTTTCACAGTTACAAACCCCTTATTTCTAAAACTGTGTATTTGTAAGCTTGAGAATTTGCATGTACTTACTGCTTGTAGAGCTTCCTTCACTCTGAGAGTCTGAGGAATTCAAGTCTAGACCAGAAAACTATAAGAAATAAAACAAATATCAAGACGTTATATGACAAATCTATGCTAAGATACAAAAAAACCCTTTTGCTTATCAAAAGCAATCAGTGTTCCCACAAACTGTGGCTGCAAAGAAATGTGTTTACACAGTGCCAGTTACATCTCCTGATAGTTAGTACTCCTCAAACATATTCTGATTAACATCAATGCCTATTTTTTTTTCTATAGGGACTCCAGCCCAAATAATACCAATTCAGTCAGGCACTGTACTTGTAGAGACTTGTATTCTTTTACGTGCAATAACACTACAAAGAGATTGCAGTCTCCATGTTTGAGGCAGCTACTGCTCACAAAATAAGAGGTGATGTCTTCCTAGAATTACTTCAGAAAATACTTTTGCTTTGTTTGTTTTTTTGTGTTTTTTTTTTTTAAAAAAAAGCCCCTCACAGTAAAGTCTTCCAAAAGGTGTTGACTGCTGGTGTGTCAGAAGTTTTAAGTCCAGCGCAGTATGGACTCATTTTAGAAGGCAGTGAACTGGTAAAGATGAAGAACCAGCTTATTACAGCTGCATGGCAAGATTATGAACTTATCTGGGGAAAAATAAGGCGTGTTTATATACAACTGAATTTTACTTAAGACCAATCGCACAGAAGCATCTTCCAACATGAATGAATCCAAAGCTGCGTGTGCTGCTATTAGAGACAGACAGTTAAAAATTCTCGCACGGGTGGCCTCTTAACACCCTCTTTAAAGCCAACGCTCAAAAAAAAAATATCATTTCAGCTGATAGAAGCATCAACGCGGAGGTCAAGGATGATTCTTATTTTAAAAGCAAACAAAAACAAAGGCTCTTTAGAAGGTAAAAACGGCTCTCCAGCGTCACGAGAAGCGATGGGCGAATCTCCCGGCGCTGGATTCCCGCCGTGTGGGGTAACACCGTCCCGGCGGCGCTGGCGCAGCCCCGGCGCCATCTCAGTGCGGCACTGCGGGCTGGATTCCCGGCGCAGCGGGAGCAGCTAATCCTGCTGCCGGCGCCCGTCACGTGTGAGGCGGGGGGGAAGAGGGGGGGAGCCGGGAGAGAGGGAGGGAAGGACCGTCTCCATGACCTACTTCGCCGAAGCGGCGCAGGGCGAGGGCTGCCCGGCCGCGGCAGATGGGGCTCTTCCTGCCCCCGCGGGGTTAGATAACCATCGGTCCCGCCCAGCACGGGGAGCGGGGGGGGGCGGGGGAGGGGGAGCGTAGGAATGAGAAGGGAGAAAAATATAAATTTAAAGAAAAATATAAATTTAAAGAAAAAAAAAAAAAAAAGTGCGGAAAAACACGACTCCAGGCCCAAATGCGTCACCGCGGCCCGACAGCACCGGAGCGCGAACAAAGGCGGCTGCCAGCGCCGCTCCCCCACCCCGGGGAAGGGGCGTCACACAAAGCGCCGTGTGTGGGGTGGGTGTGTGTGTGTGCCCCCTTCCTCCGCCCCGCACAATGGCGGCCACTGACCGCCCCTTCCTCCTCCTCCTCCCCCCCGCTGCAGTTCCCGGCGCGGCCTCCGGGGGCCGCTGCTGCTCCCGGCGCTCCCACACAAAGCGGGTCCGAGCGCGGCGCGGGGGCCGCGGGGCCCGAGCGGAGCCGGGGCCAGGCCGGGCGGCACCGACTGGCCCCGCACGCCCCGCAACGCCCCCCGGGCCGCGGGGACAACGCACCGCCGCGGGGGGAGCCCGGCCCAGCGCGGGGCCTCGGCACGGCGGGAACTGCGCAACGACCGAGTGCGCCACAACAGGCCGCGATGGGGGGGGCGAGGGGGGATTACCGGGGGGGACTCGCGACGCGGCCGCCGGGGATCGAGGAGCGGTGCCCCCGCGCGAGGGATCGCGACCGCCTCCTCCCGCCACCGCCGCCCGCGGAGCTTCCGCCACGCGCACTCTCCGGGTAACGGAGCGGCCTTTCCGCTCTCTGGTTCTCTGCTCACCTGCTGGTCTAGACTGAGGGCATTTTCCACCGCCACATGACTCATAACGAGAGATCGGTCTCGGGCTTGTCCCGCTCCGCCTCGAGAATTGGGATGTGCCGGGCCGGGATGTCGCTGCCGCCGATATCGCTGGTTCCGCCACGAATCGCTGCCCTGACTGAGCCCCCCCCACCGCCGGCCCGCCCTTTATATAGGCCCCGCCCCCCGCGCGCCGCTCTGCGCGCGCGCTGACCTCACCGCGCACGCGACCGCCCCCACCCGGCCCCCCCTCACTCCGCCCGCCTGCTCGGCGCTCTCGCGAGATCTCAGCGCAGCCAAGCGCACAGTGAAGGGGATGCTCCCGGAGCTGTCGCGAGACTTCGGGGCGCCGGGGCCCTCGCGGCGCCTCCCGGAGATACCGCGAGGTTTCCTCCTCACTCACCTCTCTCCAGGGTGGTAGAGAGAGCGGCCGCGAGTTCTCGCGAGATCACGAGCTCCCCCCTTTCGCTCCGCCGCGCTGTCCTTTTGTTCGCCGCTCTCGCGAGAGCCCCCGCGCGCGCGTGCGGCCCGGACGGCTCTAGAAGGAAGCAGGCCCCGGGTCACGTGGGTAGGCGCTGCCGCCATCTTGTCGCTCCCCTCCCCCGGGCAGTGGCGCAGCGCGTAATGGCGGTGCTGGGGGGGTGAGGGGAGGAGGGGTCGCTGCCCCCCAAAACACACCGGGCTCCGCCACCTGCTCTCAGCGCGGGTGCGGACACCATAACCTGTGCGTCTGCACAGCTCAAACAGTCCCCTTTGCCCGGAGCCCCGGGGCACATCCTTGCGAGCCGCTCACCCCGACACGCTGCTGGTGGTGGTCGACACGAGTTATTGCACACATCCGGCATCTTTTTCCCCCTAAAACCTTTAGTTGTCAAATCAAAGGACATGCCAAAGGTTCCCCCCGGCAGTCCCATTTTCCCTGTGGTGACAGTTTCACCCTCCCATTACATCCCCAAAATGCCCCACCTTGGACTCATTAAGACTCTTAGCCTGTAAACATCACTCAAATAATAAGCATTAAAATGCCTGTCTTTAAAAAGAAAAGTATATAAATAACCCCCTTCCCTTCCATCACAGCCTGCTGACACAGAAAACACTGGAGCCACTTCCTGGAATTTGGGTCAGTAAAAGTCCTGACAAACATGCTCTGGGGGTCAGGACATACTGACGTATCCAAGGAAAAGGACATTAGTTTGATTGTCCTTGATCCACACACAGCAATTATTCCTCCATTTCCCTCCTCCAACAAGAGAGCATAGGGAAGATTTAAACTCCAGAAGGATGGCTGGATTCACCGTGGGATTCAAAAGAAAGACAATACTTTCCCACAGTACTCACACATATAGTTAATCTCTGCTTAGGTTTTCCTGCCCTTAAAGTTGGAGCGCTAGAACCAAAGTCCTCCCATTCCAGAAATTAAGCCCTGCAAGGTTTAAACATCCACAAACAAATCCTTAAATGAGCAAAACACCTTCTCACAGACAAACCTGTCAGTTCTGTACAGGACAGGGTCTGGCCTTAAACAAAACATTTCTCAGTTCTCTCCTTCACTCTTCCACAATGCTCCTTCATCCAGCTACAACTCCAGAGTTAAAGATTTATATTTGTATTTCTTCCCCATGTGCACCTATTTATATAATTTAAAACCTTGCAGGTGTCTTCACTGAGGCTGCCTGACAGTTAAAAGGAAAAAAGAAAAAGTTTCTGTATTCTTTTAAAAAGCTGTTACTGGATGGAGGCCCAAATTTTGTGGGGTTTTTCTGAAAGCAAGTGTCAAATAAATCTTTTAATTCCTTTTCTTTTTACTGCTTTTGGAGACAATTCTAATTTCTGAACAATTCTGCAATGTTTACATCCCTGCAGTGTCTTCAGTGCTTTTATAAACAAGGGCATTGTTTAAGATAATTCATATGCACTAGAAAATGACATTAATTAATTCTTTGCTGTGCAAGTTTTAGAAGTATCATAGCAATTTAAACCCTGATCCTGCAGTCAGGAAAGTCAGTTCTTGGGGAAATCAGTTTTCCCTCTGTTATTAAGTTGCCATCTGCACTAGGCAGGACCATGTATTCTCTGTTTCACTTTTATTCTTCCACAGCTGAGTCAGACACAATTCCCTGGAGGAAGCTGAGCAGCTCCTGAGTACCTGAGTCAAGCATTAAACCAACACTGGAGTCCTCACAAACCCTGCTTACTGTTAAACTCAGCAAGTTTTTATTGATGGGTTCGACCAAAACTGCTTAAAACCTGACACTGCCAGGTGCTTGGACACTCAAATCCTAGCAGGATTCCCAAATTTGCTGTTCCTTCACCTGCAGAGCCTCCTCTGGTAGTCTTACTGAAAGGCTACACTGTTAACCCCCAAATAGCCAGAAATACGGCTTTCTGGGTATAGAGGAGGTTGCATTAGGAAAACAGTGTCACCAGCTGCCACCAAACCCTTGTGAGCTGTGAAGTCAACACTGTTTATGAAGTTGTATCTGCCTTTTAGAATATTTTTATCCAACACTGATAGATACTGACCTTGTGTACATGAGCTTCCTTATCTGTTTTGAAACTATCAACAGGTCATACAGTACTAACCATCTTAGCAAGCAGATTTCTCATCTTACAAAGCTATGGCCTCACTTCTAAGGAAAGGAGATATTTTACTAATCATAAAGCAACTCAGGCCCTGAAATCCAGAGTGTGATACAAAATAAATCCTACCATGAATGTAATTCTCAGGTTGCAGTACTGAAAACTTGTTTCTTGTTCTACAGAGCTGCTTATGAGTACGATACAATATTTGTGTGAGTCTTTCATATTGTAAGCAGGGCAATAAAAATATAACTTCAGTGTTGTCCAGCCACAGGTTAGCAGAGGGACTTGGAAAGAGCCTTTAGTCAACAGCGTATATCTCTCCGTAACATCAGAAATCTGTCTTTAACAGCATAATTTTTACATGCTCCATCTGATCAGTTCCCAAAGTTCTGTGGACAGTTTTAGTAGTCAAAAGGCACAATCTTACTGATTTGGAGGAATAACATGAGAAGAAGAAGCACGTGCAACCATTGATGGTACTGCTGGTGAAGCCTTCACTAAAAAGTCTGCATTTCCCTACAGCAGTGGCTACGAAACTCTTTGGACTCTTTGGGTAAGTTTTAAAATAATCTATGTAAAAAATTATGCAGCAGAATAAAATGGAAAAGCATTGTTAAAGCTGGCACCTTTCCTCTAACTTCAAAACAAAACTAGGTTTGTTGCATTGGACAGCTTTACCAGGTTCCTCACATTTGAAAAGCTGTCTCTGTTCAGACATTTCTGTTGGCAGCAGGACTGGTGTAGGCAGTTCCCAGCACTTGCCATTTGTTCCTGTCCCCCAGGTGTCCCCTCTTTTGTCCCAGTACAGCTATTAGTGATGCCAGTCCGTGCAGTCAATGAAGGAACTGATCTGAATTTAAAATAACTGTTTGTAGGCATAGAAAGAGACCCTGCCTACATCAACTCTCTGCCCTGGTAAATGTGTGTGGGATATTGGGTTGTAGTCAATCAATTTTGTCAATTTAGTGAATATTTCCTACCATACATGTGCCCTAACTCAGTGTTAGCCAAGGATTTCTCACACTTGCATTGCCAGCTGATGTAGTCCCCATCTCACTCTGCATGCCCAGCTCATTTCAGACTCAAATAAACTGGTGTGGAGAGGGTGCTATTTTTCAACTGGATCAGTCTGGCAGGGAGGCATCACAAGTGCCTCTGCCAGTCCAACATGAGAGGGGTAACCAGTCCCAGGCAGGGACAACAGGAGCCTGGAGCTGCTGCCGAAGGAGCCTGTGTGGAGCCACAGCCTCCTTCTCTGGGTAGGCAGGGGCAGAGCAGGATGAGAGCACAGGATGTGCACCCACATTTTCTTGGGAAAGGAGTGCACTGGGTGCCCATTACACAAGCCATGGAACTCGGGGGGAATCTCAGGAAAATCTGGGCAGAATTTTCTGTTGCCTGTAGAATTACATCAGGTATCTTAGCCAAAATGTGCACAGAGTTTTTTTTATTTGTTTTTGTCCTTCTGACTCTGTTTTGATATAAAATCTAAGTAATAAAGGAAGTTACTACTAATAAAAACATTATTATTAAACTGTGCCTGGACAGCATTGATAGAATATTTACAGAATTTTCCACTATGCTGCAACACTATTTTCTGCCATTGATTGCCTTTGCTGAGTATACATCTATCCTAAGTCTCAGAGAGGACATAATGCCTTTAACTCACCTGAAGAATTAAAAGGCAATCTGATTAAGAGCTACTCTGTTCTTTGGCTAGTGTATTGCCACCCAAGCATTGCTGGCTCCCCTTTTCTCTCCACACTCACAGACTGGTAGATAGAATGTACACAATTGATTGGAGAGGGCTTGATGAAGAGCAGATTCGTGATGAATCTCTGAAAAGATGCCTGGAGCGTGTTCTAAAGCTTCAAAGACATTCACATCTTGTCCTGAAAAACCACTAAAGACTGTTTACAGACAGCAGAGACTGTGAGAAAGGAGAGACAGAAAGTTTTATAAGCTATGACTCTAGAACGGGGATACGCAGAGAGAATTTGGCCATTTCAAACATATAATAGTCCTTATCTGAAGCAGCTTCTCTTTCTCTCTTTTTTTTAAATGAAGTCCTATTTTTATTTTCTGTAATGGTTTAGTGACAAGATCAAGTAGTCACAGGTTTCTGTGGGAACTGAGGAAGCACAAGCATAGTCTTGTCCTTATTTCTTCTTGTTACATGACAGAGGAAGAATGAGTCCGTAACTTCCACACAGGAGATACTTCTTGAGCTGGAATCAGGGCACAGGACTGCCACCCAAGGCTGTCACTGAAATGGCAGCAGAATAGAGGCAAAGAAATGGGAGATAAGATGAAGATGGTCCCCTTTTGAGGTAAGAGTGAGCAGAACAGCAAAAAATCCATGCTGCTTGCTGTGAGCCTGCTGTGTTACATGCTTAGCCCAAAAAAAGGACTGGCCTGCCTGCCTGCTGGGGCTGCCTTGCTTGCCTGGGTCCAGAGGAGTGTAGAACTGCAGTAGGAGAGGCTTCCTCCCCCTCCCTCCTCCCTGAGCCCCCAAGAAGTCACTCCTCCAGAGCCTGATGGGATATCCAGACCCTCACTCCCAGCCTCCACCCCATGTCCCAGCTAAATATCCCTGCTTTGCCAACAAGTCCCTCTGTCTGCTGTGCACCTCTCTTGGCTGTGGAGGATTTTCCCTGGCCACATGTGAGAGATGGAGTAGATGCATCCCGGGTTTTCAAGGAAGGGCCTTACTAGCTCTCTCCCCTCTTGTGTGCAGGGGTTTGACTTCTGCTGCCAGGTGTGAGCACCTGGCAAGCTTTGACCTTTGCAGATGGTGGTTGTGCAACATGGTGCAGCTGCCAGGAGTGCTCAGGTTGAGTGGATGGCCTCAGCTATCTGGGGAATGCCCGGCGTTGCTCCTTATTAAGTGAGAGAGATTTTCAAGTATTAATAATGTTACTGAGAGGCAGCACTAACTGAATGTTCCATCCTGTGCGCTGTCAGAACCATGCTGGACTTTTTCTGTGGCTCAGAGTTGTAGAGGGTTGTAGAGGGTGGAAGGGAGGGTATTTTTTGACTAAAATGACAAGGGTGGTTGTCCTGACTGGAAGAATGAATGGAAAGAATATGGAAGTTCTATGAACATTGAAAATTTCTGAGTTGGGCTCTATTTTTCATATCCCTAGATTCCTTGCTAGCTTGGATTTTAAAAACCTTAATCACTTTTATCTCTCTGCATTCGGATCTCTCCATTGTCCCCACTGGACTCCAAATTACCTTGCCTTCCTCTCTCACTCCCCAAGTTTATGCACTGCTTTGTCTTCACAAATGCTGTTTTCCATGTTCCAATTAGATTGAGGGCTTGCCTGCACAGGAAAGTTGCACTACTATTAATTTGCAGTTTGCTTTAAAGAAATTATGTTAAACCTGGGCAAAAGGCCATGTGGACTCCCTGGTATTCCTTTGCAGGAATACAAATGGCTTGTTTCAGGTTAGATCAGGTCAATTAGGAACAGGAAGAACTTGCAAAGCAATAAATTTTCCTGCACCAGAACAAAGAGAGCCCAGCAGCTTCTTCTGCCCATTGTGTCCTCCAAATGGGAGTGAAAAGCTGGGGGCATGGTCTTGACCTCAGCAGGAGTCTCAACCCACTGGGCAGAGGTAGCTGGTCCCACCAAAGCAGCAGCTGCTGCTGTCACTGTGTTCTGACACGAGCTGTGAAGCAGATGATGCCCACTGCAGCCTTTTTCCTGCCAGAACATCCCAGTCCACAGGGCAGGAGAGGGGCCTGGCTCCCACTCTGTTCCTACAGGTATTAAAAATTGAGTCCTTTGCCAAGCAAATTGTAGTATGACAGTATTCAGTAGGAAAAAGTCATGAGCATCCATCTACTGCCCCTCTTTGAATGAATGCCTGGAGTTAACTGTTGGTTTACAAGCAGACTGTAATTTTATGAATATGCCTTTCTCTTGTAGACAAGCTCAAAGGAACAGAAGGTGAAGACAAAAGAAGAGAGACTTATAGCAGCAAGAAGAAAGGGAAGAGGCACATCAGTAAATCTTGGATTCTGTGAATTCTCATTGTTAACTGGTTTGAACTGGTAAGCTAGTAATTGCCTAAATCAAAACAGGCACCTAGTCAAGATGGCTCCTATATTAATCAGCATTAGTATTATACTTTGAAGAAGGCACTAATGTTTCTCATTTTGGTTTCTGTAAACCTTTTCTAATTACTATTTCCAAATACCAAATGTAACTTTTATGTTATGTAACATAAATGTAGCATTAGAGTCTTCTTTGAAAATCCTCTAGAGGGTCACTGACCAGAGAGTGTGATGGCAGCTCAGAAGGGCCTGTGGGATTGTCAGAGTCCCGAGGACACCCCCAGCTCCACAGCACTGCTGGTCTCCAGCTCCCCACAGCCCTGCCCTGCCTGGCCATGGGCCCACGACCTGTCCCAGCCATGGCTGTCCCCGAGTTGGGGAGGTGCCCGGTGCCTGAGGCTGCCCCCAGCTGCACCTGGATGGGGAATGGGAATGGCCTGGGCTGCCAGACCCTGCTCTGATGCCCTGGGAATTCCCCTGCAGTCCCCAGTCCCCAGCCCTAAGGGATCTGCTGCCCTTGCTGCCAGCAATCCTTGCTGTGCCCTGCCAGGAACTAAAAGACCTAAATCATGAACCAAACCCAATTCTGGTCTTCAAGAAAAAGGGGGAGGAAGGCCCATCTTTCCATTCCCTCACTGTTGCCACTGAGTGTTGATTAGGTCTGTCCCTTGGCAAGTGAGGGGTCTCCAGCAAGAGAATGGAAGAGGTGTAGAAACTTGAAGTACAAAAGCTCGTAGAGTTGTGAGCAGAGGAGAGGGAAGGTCTGGATATGGAGGCACCAGCTGGAGCACTCAGAGGGGAAAGTGCTCTCTGAATGGCCTGAGTTAGCAGGTCACCAAGACCACAGGGCATCTCCCTGTTATCCCTCAAGACACTCAGAACTGGGGACAAAGTGATTAGCCCTCGATTGTCAGAGTTGGGACAGGATGCAGATGCTGTTGCAAAAATTCAGAAAAGATACAAAAAGATGTCCAAACCCTGTGCATAGTCAGGAATCCAAGAATAGCCCAGGAGACACGAGAAGGGCTTAATAGTTGGCATCCCTTGTGTTCTCTATGGCATCACACAGATCCTAGACCCATTACCTGGGCATGGTCTTCATATTCCCTGTATTTTGGATAGATGGCTTGAACATGATGACCTGATGCCTGGTGGCTGCACTTGTGAGTGTGAGACTGAATGTGGCTGAGTGAAACCTGTTTTGTTTCAGTTTTTATTTTAAATGAAATCACTTTCTTCCCCTTCCCCTCCTATATGTTTTCTACATTGTTTATACCATGTTGGAGTAGTAAATAGGAGCACCTAGCTGCATAATCTTTCAGTCATATCTCTTGTGGTGGCAGCAGAGAAAGAACCATAAAAAATTTAATGTCAGTAGAAAATAGTCTTTTTCTGGATGGGTTCATCAAAGGCCACCCTGTCCCTCTTGCTGGCTTTGGTCAGCAGTGGAGGTTACACAGCTGGAGCTGTGGCCCACTCCATTGTAAGAGGCTTAGCTCAGGCTTCAGCATGCACATTGCAACCTTTCCACTTAAATCATTAAAGGTAAAGGGGTTTTGAGACATCTAGTCCACCACACTGCCTTAAGACTAAATATATCCATCCACTCTGGATGGATGCTCATCAGACTGGATGTCCAGAACACCAGCTACATGCCCAAACTGAGGTAGGGCTCCCAACCCTGGCAATAATTGTCTTCTCCTAAGGGGCAGGGCCCCAGGATGCTGTCATGTCAGCACAGCCACTGTTCCTCAGCTGTGAGGCAGGAACCCCTGCTTCATGCTGGGACTGAAAAGCTGCTTAGTGAGCTAAAGGCTCCCGGCTCCTTTCAGACACCCACGGACACGGTGGAGCTGAAACCCTCCCACCCCTTTCCGAGGCAGGCAGCTCAGTGCCTGCAGGGAAGCAGGAGCTGCTGCTGCCTCTCTCTAAGACAGCAGCTCCTGGTGACTTCCCCCTTGTCTAAAAGATGGCACAATGGTGGTTTTCAGCTCCAAGAAGTGGCTGCACGGCTTGTTGTATGTCACCTCACTGTGAAGTCTCCCTGTACTCATCACTTCTAGCCTATTCATAGTAAACAGGAAAAGTAGTTTATTTCCTTCCTCTTTGCAACTGCTTTTTATATATTTGTGTGCTGCTATTCTGCCCCTCCTCAGACTTCACTTCTTGAGACTGAATTGTTTTTCATTGTGCCTTACAGTTTATATCTTCTGAACTTCTCGTAGAGCAGCAATTTAACATTTAAATGAATATAGTGTTCCTGAAATGAGCTGGACTGACAAGGCATGGAAATGGAGACTTCTGTCTTCACAGATTAGACACCACAGTGGTAGGAGGAGTGAGAACTCCATACCTAACTTGTGATCTGGAACATCTCTAGAGGCAAGAAGACAATGTGGTGATGAAATATATCTGAGTGGTTCAGGTTTCCTCCTTAATCAGTAACCTCTAGGCAGCCTCTGAGGATTCATTTGTGCCAGATGTGGTGGTGTTTTTGCGATATGGACAAAACATTACAATAGCAAGGAGCAGTGTTAACCAGCTCATTTCATATGAATTACCAGCCTTGTGGGGGCAGAGCATTCAGGCAGGTTCATCTAATCAGCTGTAGATGGACACATGGAAGGATCTCCAGCCAAGTCATCTCAGGCCCCTCTTTCAGCTGCAGAGGAGAAAAAGGCACTCGGAGGTCATGAATCATCTCATCCCAAAGTAGGTATTTAAAATAGATCAGATAAGACATACCTTTAAATTGCCTGTGGGGCAACAGGCTCAGATGTAGAGATAGACACTGTAGACATCTAAAATTAGGTGAGCTGAATCTCACCTGTGGAGTCCACCAAAGTGGTGACACAGGGGTCAAAAGCCCCACTTCCTGTGGGAAACCTTCAGAGCACATCTTCTGCCTTTTTGAATTTACAGCCACCTCAAAGCAGCCAGGTGTCATGGCTGATGAGAGACATATGAGGGTCTTCCACTAAATGGCTACATCTTACTGATTTTCAGAAATAATTTTTTTTTAAATCCTTCTTTCTTAGTTCAGTATCTAAATAATCATTTTCCAGAGCAGGAATAGTTGCTTTTTCACATCTGCTCATGCCATCAAGGGGAATTGGAAAAGCAAATGCTTGGATTAGGAAGCACTGATGTTCATCATGGCTAAAATAATGGTATTTTGTAGAGGGGAACTTTTAGATTGATTCATCTGATATAGTTAAACTGTAAAGATTTATCTTGCAGAATCTTTGGCAAATAAGTACTTCAAAACAGGTTTTTTTACTTTCATAGCATCTTCTCCCCCTCCTCTCATTTTTATTCCTTAGTTAATAGTTTGTAACTAAGGAAAAAGCTTCTCTTGATACAATAGCACATCTCCTGACCCACTTCAGTGCAAATGCATACATAACCACTTGTTTGTTTGTACTTCTACAGGTGTTGGTGCTGTGCAGATATGGGCTGTGGTTAAAGTTTCATAATGGAAAATCTGACAGGCAGTTAACTAATCCATGAGTCATATTTCGTAATAGCCTAAAGGTCTCTGATGCTCGACCTTCATTTGATACCCTTGCCATCAGGCAGTTTATACATGACCCCTCTGAAGAACATTCTTTATATAGATGACTGCACTGCTGCCCTTTTATACCTGCAAGGATGGGCATTGCACTTACTGAACCAGGGGAGTCTCCTATCTCCCTTTCCACCCCTCCTCTCCATGAACAGGACTGCAGAGGTGCACTGCAGGACACTCACCTGGGGAATGAGAGCAGTGGAAATCTCTCTGCTTAGTTTAAGTCTTCTGTAGGACCCGGCTGAAAGGTGAGGAGAGGGATGGGGAGCTGTTTTCAAACTCCATTCACCCTAACCCTGCTGAAGGGGTTTCTGATTGGAACAGCTCCAGTAATAAAAGTAGCAGTGGAACTACCAGCACTAGCAGAGCTCTGCTGGTTTCACCTGTGCATGGCTCACTTCTGCTCAAGGCAGGCCAGACAGACACCGAACAAGACATCCTTTTTTTGCTAACAGCATTCCCAATGCCAGGGTCTTAAAAGGAAGGCCTAATGTGGAAAGGGCTGGTCTGGAGAATCTACACCTCTGTTTTCTAGCCAAAGGGTGAAAAAGCAGCACAGTGCTTATGAGGGTACCTTGGCTTTCAGGACTTCTCAGGTCCTTTCTGAAGGGCATTGCTGCTGTTTCCAAAGCTAAAATAAAGCAGACACATGACTTCGGTCACTGCATGAGAAGTTTACATACTATGACTTGTCATAATAAAGAAACCTAAACAAAAGCCCAGTGTGTCACTAAAGCTGCAATATGTTTTCCATGCTAAATTCTTTTAGGTTTGCTTTTGCTTCTTTTTTACAGCTGTGGAATAGTAGAATATCTCAGGGATATCTGACGTTGCAGGATAGAAGGTTCTGGTCTTCATGAATGGACCCACTATAAAACAGAGCAGAAGGTTATCTTATTTTTGAAACACTCTGGCATACAACTTTTACAGCGGTGCCAAATGCTGGACAACAATGAGAGCAGCTGAGAAGACAAATGGAAAGAAGAAAGCAAAGGAGAAGGGTTAACTTTGGCTGCCTCTTTAAGAAACTCTGACATTTCCAAGTGACTATTTTATAATTGTCTCTGAGATATCAGCAGACACCACGAGTGATGTATATGTAGCATGTGAGTTGCCTGCTGTATGTGGAAAACTGCCTAGGGAGGGATTGGCACAGTGGGAGGGGGAACATGGCCAGCCTGACTGTAGGCACCAGTGAGGAGTTTAGTCATCCTGCTGAGTCAACAGGAGACATGGCACCTCCAAAGGTGCTTTTGCCTACTCTTCATTCCATGTTAGACAGCTGAAGTTATATGGGAAGAGCCTGTAATGACAGGCTCACATGCAAGCTGCTGTTTATGCATGGGATTCATCTTGCTTGGCTGATCTGCATCACCAGCTCCAGACCTCTTCATCTGGAATAAAGCTGGTGTCAGACTGGGCAAGGCTTGCTGGGGCTGTTTCTTGGGGCTGTCCTTGCAGCTCTTCTCAAGCAAATGCAGAAGGTAAGGAAAGGCCAAACAAAGGTCCCAGTAGGATTCAGGTTCGTTTCAGAGGGACAGCAGTGTTTGAATCCTGACAGCTTTACTGAAAGATATTTTTTGCTATCATTGAGGGTCCCTGCAAGATGAAGGACCCAGCTGCACAAATCCCACTGGGAGGATAGGGCTGCTGACACAAATGTAATATAATAAAACGTGTTACAGACTTGTACAACTCTTGTCTGATGATCTGAGGGACTCCTCTCCCAGTTTGCCCTCAGTACCCCCTGAAGTCAGTGTAACTATCACCTCCAACAACTCATGGCATTGGATCATGATATTTGTAACAAACTTCTGGTTTAAAGTGCCAGGATATAGGAACTATATTGTATGTCTGTTCCACAACATGCTGAACTCTTGCTTTGTCTGAATTTTTGTCTTTTTAAAAGTATTTTTTAAGGTCATCTTAATATCAGAAGAGAATTTTCATTTTGTCCATCTTTCCTCTCTTTATTGCAGTATTGGCTGTAATTAAACTCTAAATTGCAGGAGCATCGTTACCTGACATTTTTCTCTCTTTTCCAAACAATTCCTGGAACTGAAAGTTAATAAAAGGAGATACCCCTTTTCAGTTCTTTGTTCAGCTTCCCTGGCTTGTTTTCAGCATTTGACAATGCTTTCCAGGCTCTCAGTTTCACCTCCCTATTTTCTGGTTCCCTGAGCTTGTGTGGTGCCTTTGATGCTGCAAAAGGGCAAGATAAAGCACTGAGGAAAAAAAGTGAAGTACTGTGACAAAAGGACAGGCATCACCCCAGGGATTCATGTACTGAAAGATCTTTAAAATTCTTCTCAAAACTGACTAGTTGGGAGTTGACAGTATCCTTTTAAGGACGGTTTATGTTCAGAAATCCCGGTTAGTCTTATGAGCAAGTTTTGGCTGAGCACAAGTGCTGATGACTTTTTGAAATGAAAAACATTTCTAAAGACGAAAATAGCTAGTACTGAAATCTCTCATAGCCCTTATTTACAATTTCTATGTGATCCCTTGTCCAGATTTATAATGATTGCTTGCCAGCAGAACTTACAACTCTGTGGATTTGTCTTTAATGTTGTAATTAAAACCAGGATGATTTTCATGGGCCCAGAATAATTTGTAATTCTTGTGAGAGCTCTGTCTTTTAAGTGGCCTTACATAAGATGTAATCTTCACTGACCTAAAGCATGCATACACAATTTTTTAAAAAATGATTGATGTTTTCATCAAGCAGTTGTATACCTTTGGGATCATTTCAACCTGATGCATTTAAGTACAATTTTCCCAGCCTTTCTCAAGAATTTATAATGTTTTCAAGTTATATCTAAGTAAAACACTCCTTTTTTTTCTTCTGCCAGGTGCCTCCAAATAGCTTGCATCTTTTAGTCCTTCTGTAAGAGGTAAAGATGTGACCTTTCATTCTTCCTGAACATTTTCCCTTTTACTGTTCACCCACTGACAACATATGCTGGGGACCCTGCAGTGACTCCCCAGCATTTCCAGAGCTATGCAGTCTAAAGACCAAAACCTTCTTGTTCTCCCTAAATATGGGATCACTATGTAGTGTAACCCCCAAAATCTGATCTCCTACTAGTTCTCCATATTTGTTGGGGGGGTGGATGTTCCTTATGGTACAACAAAAAGGCTATGCTGGCATCCCTCACACACTGAACAGGGCAGAAATGTGTTACAGCAATAGTCCGTGAGGGGTTGTTATATGGCATGGGTGGAGAGTTAGGTCCTCAAATGTGAACTTCTTATTGGAACACGTAGCTATTTTTGAAGTCTGAAACTTCATTAACAGGATTCCTCTACGGATAACTTTGTCCTTTTAACTTGTCCTTACAGCTTTCGTTCTGGGAATATTTAATATAAGGTGTTTTGATTCTTGAACCTGCCTGTGCCTGGTAGTATTAATAACCCGGGGCAGGGAATGTTTATATAGTACTGAGCACCATGGCAGCACTTGGTAAATAATGAAATAAATCGCAGGCTTTGTTTCTGTTCAAATACTGTGTTTGCCTTCTGTGGATACAGATCTTCTGGATCCTGCTCAACAACCTCATTTGGGTGAAACTGGATATTGTGCCGATTTTATTCCAGCTCCTTTAATGTATGGCAACTGTACAGACAATGCTCTGGATAACAAAGAACTCAGAGTCCCCCATCTAAACCTAAGAAAAAGCCAAAACCCCTGGATCCTGCACTAAAAATACCCACCAGGATTCTTAATTTTTATACAAATACACAACTGAAGTAGAAAAGGCAAGAAGCAAATCAACAACTGCAGCATACAAGGGTCCAAATTCACCACCCCATTCCAAAATTCCAGACATGCACTGAAAATACCAGGGCTGGGAAGTTACTCTGGCTGCTACTGAGGGGATGCCCAAGCGTGTGAGAACCAACATAAATTAGAAATGTGAAGAAAACCCACACAAGTTCACTGTTCTAAAGCACTGAGCAGAGAAAATTGGGAAGACCAGAGTTATTGCATCCTACGACCTCGGCCTTCCGGACCCACATGCAGGTGCAGAAGCCAAGGGGGATGTGTGCTGTAGAAAGGAGCTGCGTGTTTCCCTCCAGAACAGCCTGAAAGCTGCTCAGGAATCCCAGCACTTAGGACATGTCTCAGAGAAGTCATTCTGTGGTTGACTGTGCCCAGCTCACATATGTTTTTAATAGAAGCATTTAAAATAATTTCAAGACTGAGGCGTATACAAGTTAAACTTTGAGTACAAGCTGAAGAACAAATAGAGCTGTGCTAAATTGGTTTCTGGTACAGCCTGACAATATACTCAAGACGCTACCTAATCCCAAGTGATCCCTGGTGTGTATGTAATCTTCTACCACCAAGTCAGTCTTAAATTTGTAGGTGAGGTTACTGCATTCTTAGTCTGATTTAATCTCTTTTCCATCAGGAGTTGGCAAAGCTGAGAAATACTTTATGGCTAAATTCATCTATATTTTACTTGTGATATTTGTACTTTTCTATTTTGAATATAAAATATAGGTAAATATAATCCCTATAAATGTGTAAAGTAATCATGCATTCATTATGAAATAATAATACTTACATTAATAAAAAAATTAATAACATTTCTCCATAACTTCATTAATGCAGAGTCAGCTGCACTAAGGGGCCTTGAGCTGGGCCAGAAGACAAGAAAGGACAAAATTCAACTCCAACAATCAGCGAACAAGGAGTTAAGGCATTACAAACTGAAGCTTCTGCAAATCCAGACTTAAATGCAGAGTTAAAAGCCTCTGCCAACTCTGGAACAGAAACTAAAGTCTGCTTCTACCACCAGGAAGCGACTGCAGCCAGGGGAAAATGGGAAGGGATAAAGGAACAGCGGGGTGAGAGACAAAGTCTAAAAGACCGTGAGGATGAAAGGTGAATTCACCGTCATCAAATGAATGCCCTGAGAGTCCTGGCAGTCCATCAGAAGGTGTGAGGTCCAGCAGATGGTTTCCTGGTCAGAGTTCTGCAGGAGGGCCAGCTGGACAATCTGGACAGTGTAGGATGTGCAGCTGGAGTTTGAGCACTGTCTGCTGCCTGCTTTGTGCCACAGCTGTAGCAGAGTCGGATGGTGGATGGGCAGGTGAGGGGCAGCATTGCTGTGGATGCACTGAGAAGGGAGGGACATGTATAATGATGGTGCAAACATGCCCTGTGTCAGCCCTGAATTGTAGGGGCACAGAAACAGGGAGCTGAAGGTACTGTCTGAGAAGAAATGTCTGTGGAAAGGGAAAAGGCAGATACCATTTGCATGTCTGGGCTAGTGTGAATTCATCAGGCTCTGTGTTTGAATGGGTGCCAGGTACAGCATACAAGTAACTCCTGTTTGCTGTGCCTGACCTAAATCCAAGTGTTGCTTTGTCAGGCTTTAACCAACACGTGTTCTGTCTCCCTACTGCGTAGTCACACTGCTGGAGACTGGGTGTTAGCACTGGGAACCTGATGATTCAAACACAAAGTATGAGAGGCTGTATTGTGGCAACAGGGAGGAAGCGGGGACATGTAACCTCACTGTGTATTTTATGGTGGTCAAAGGTTTCTGATCACTTTAAAAGAACTTTTATCTGGGAAGTTTCAAAGGACTAAATATAGACCAATTGCAAATGCTAGATGGCACTGAGGCTCCCCAAGCAACCCACTTCCCTGCTAACAATGCTTGTGGGGATGTAACATCTTGTTTGTTTGTTTATTAAATAGACCTTTTTCAGATCAACATCTATCAGAGCCCAGCCCTGCAACTCCATTTTTTCCCATTCCTTGGCAATGGGCCCCTGGCAAGAATGCACAGCCAGCACAAGTCCTGGAGCTGCCTCTGAAGCCTTGATGTTCAGTCTCACTTGTTTGGGGGGAAGACAGAGGAGGAGTGTTACACAAGAGGTCTTAGGGTGGTAAGATAAACATCTGGTATTTGAGCCTCTGCCTTAAACCACCACATCGCCATGAATGGATAAGTTTTCAGCAGCAGGAAGTCAGGAATTACACTCAGTAGGAAGAACTGCCAGCTCTTCTGTGATTCCTGCCTCTGGATAGGGCATGGGAGAAGTGCCTCTGGTAGGATATCTGTGTAAACACTGGATCCCACTCACTGCTGATACTGATGACGTGGTTGAACAGAGCAAATGCACTCTACCCACAGGTGATCCCAAGGTCCTCTTCTCAGTGGAAGAACAGCAGGTGAGCTTGGTGTTGAAGCAGAGAGGGTGAAAGTGTCATCAGTGAGAGATGAGATCACAGTCAATTGAGGTGGTTGCTGTGTAAGTCCACTAGGCCCCAACCATGGGATGTGAGATTTTTCCAGGAAGTGAAGACATTGTCTACACTGTTTCAAAGATGCATGTTTAAAACCTAGACAAACAAACAACTAAATAAAAAATAAGCAGTAATGAAAGGGAAAAGAAAATCCACAGGCTAAAAAAGGGGTGCCAGCAGGTAGCAGGGAAGGGAGCAAAACAACTTTTGGTCTAGTCAGGTGACAAATGTATAAAGTTGCTAAGAATCAGTGGTTTTGCTGCAGCAAGAAACTCTGTCTCAAGTCAAGAAGTAGTGCAGGTGAAGTGCAGTGAGCTCAGTACTGCACATTCCCCCTCATGCTATAATCACCACGTGTGGGGTACCATATACATCCAGTTGGCCAAACTCACACATCTGAATGCAGGTGTCACCACAGTGCAATGGTTACAAATGTTGTCACTCAAAGGAGTACGAGGAAATATCCGTAAAATTACCTTTTTAGAGGAAGGAGCAGGGGAGGAGGAGCAGGAGGTGGCTGTGACCACCCCAGCTCAAATGGCTATTTAGACCATCAGTATTACTCTCTATTCCCTTACAGGATATTTCAAGACAACACAACAGAAGTGAATTGATGAGAACATAGAGTAGTCCACACCTAGAAGCAGTCTTTGGGTTTCACTGGGACAGTACTGCTGTCCTGCTGGGGGGTCACCAGGGTCCTGAGGAGTTCAGTCTGGGACCCCCATCCCAGCGTCCTCTGGCCTGGATCTGCACCATGGCAGTGAGGGCACTGCCTGTTCCAGGGCTACCTGGGTCTTCCAGCTTACAGTGCCAATGGGAGCAC